TAATAATAATAATAATAATAATAATAATAATAATAAACCAGCCCACTCATATAATCCTATAACCCTGTGTTTCTGCATTTTTGTCAATCAGGGCCCCAGTTAATACTTCAGGATTGATGGTTATCTGTCGCTAAGCATAAAAACACATCAAAATAAAAGTCTGTTGTTCATAATAGCAGCAACACAGGACTTCTTCAGCAGGTATGGCCCAGTAGTGAATTTTATTTGGATCAGAAAACTTGGTGTGAAAGCAGCTCATGTTTTCATTGATTACTCGTCTCAAATGTGTTGTCCTACAGCAGGTCTTTTCCCAAGCAGCTTTGCATTAAAAAACCAATAATTACTGTTCAGATACTTAAGATAAATTTAAAAAAAACAACCCCATGTGTGCAAGAAGCAGTTTTGATCAAATGATATCCGAGCCGAACTTTTGCTTTTCTTGTGTCTTCAAGTGTCCTGATGCTTTCTAGTGCGACAATCGTGGCTTTTTGGATAGTGTATCGTGCTGCAACACTGTTTTTGTCCTACATATGTTTTTTTCATACATATGTTCCCTCTTGTTGACTTCTTGTGTTTGTCTGTACGCTGTCATCAGCATGGACATGGAATGATCCAAACAGAAGTGCCTGTGACAGATTGTTTGAACGCCAGGTCCCTGAAGAAGTATAACACTCTTTCTCAAGAATTTGAAGACCTTGTGTGCTGAAAAGATTTGGTAATACACCATTTTTCAAGTCTGCATTTAACTGCAGCAGAGCCCAGTTTTCAAAAGGTTGCAGTTCTGTTGCACAAAATGTTCCAGCTCACTGGTTGCCCGGGGTTTTAAATAGGCAATCTGAGCAGCGAAAACACAGTCAAACTAACAATACAATCCATTACACGGATAATTGGTCAAAAGGAAATAGTCAGAACCAAAAGGTTAGCTTGACCAAGTAGACTTTTTTTTCTTTCCTCTTTTTTGCTCCAATATGTGAGTTACAAAAACAAATGCCTCCCTCAGAACAGAGAGAGTTTTCTATCAGCACTGAAACAGCATGGCAATGAACATCAGCTCCTAACAGACATTATGAACACACTGAATTGGTCCTTAGACTCAGCTGATGACCCTGGGATGTCTTAATGTCAAATAGGTTCATATAGTGAATGTCCATGGTCTCATGTCACAGTGTTTCAGATAGATGATGTTACAGATTTCTCCTTACCAGCAAATTTATCTGAACCAGAGTTGGAGTCAGAGGCTCAACAAACAGGCAGCTGACTTTGGTCAGTATTCGCTGTGACCTTCGTCACACTGCTGATTATATGCAGTACGATTCATTTACTGGAAAGTAAATACGATGTTTTCAGAGGAGCAGACAGATTTCTACAGAACAACATGTCCTCTGCCTTCAGTGGATCAAGGGATTTCCACTGTTTTTCATTCTGTTCGGTGTATGTGCATAGGCCGAGTGCCTTTATACCTGCGATGGCAGCACAACAGGGACAGTGCAGGCACTAACATGATGAGGTGGGTCGCTGCTTTGTGTAAGGGTCTCAAACTGACTCGAAGTGTACACTTTTATCTAACTGGTGAAGCATGCCACACATGTACCTAAAGACCCACTCCAATAAAAATCAAGTTTTTCTTGTTGTCTTTATGTTCATGTGGCATTTTTCTGATGTTACAGGATATATCAAAGTAAGTGTGAAATTGCATTTCTGAGTATTTCTGCATTCAAATTGCCGTGAGTCTCTGGCAGACTCAAATGGCAGGTTCAGACAAAGTGAGATTTCCTATGTAGCAAATCCAAGCTCCGCCCCCGGAGCCCCGCTATGCACGCCAGAATCAGGGAAATAGAGAGGACAATCGCAGAACAAGTGTGTGCATTAGAAAGCTAATGCTCATAAGAAAGCTAATTATATTATTTTTATCATGTCCCTAAAAACATTTGTGTCTGAGAGCTGAATAGCTCCTATGTTACCTACTTCTTCTTCTTTACAGGCAATGTAAGACTGCAAGCGAGCGTGAAGAGGCGTGTGCAGAGCAGCGCTGTCTCCACCCACGACTCAGAGGTGAATTGCTAATGAGCTACTGGAGCTCTGCAGAAGAAAAGGCCTTGAAAATGACACAGGTAACGCTTGGGCTGAAAACTTCATAATCACAATTTAAAGACAACAGAAAATACTTAAAGTAGGAGTGGGACTGAAGGCCTGAATCAGAGGCACCTTTGCTTTACTGTGTGTGGCTTTTTTACATTTATAATTGCTGATGGAGTCCATTTGGAAGCTTCACTTACTACAACCTGAAACAAGAGCTACCAACAGTCCTAACATTCTCCACTGCCTGGTTTAATAATAATAAAAATCACATTCCAAAGGTAATTTACTAAACCTGGTAAAGACACAAAGCTAACCCCAGAGGATTTATGTTCCAGTATAGGAGGCTGGACATGCACCATGTTATTGCATTACTTACCTGTGCCACCCTGATAATATTCATGCTCCTGCTTTTGAGCGAAACCCTGCAAATCACAGCCATCAAACAAAGCAGTGTTGAAGCCCCTCAAACTGTAAAAACAACCCGAAAACAAACCCCTTCAAGCAGCAGCATTGTCCTAGAAGGTAGCAGTAGCATGAGAAAGTCCCGTTTAGACGTTCAGACATGCACTGCTCTCTTTGGATAGCCTCAGAAGCAAAGAAAGCCAGGATTTCCTAAAGCTCAGAATGGGGAGCTCTCAACAGATTGATCAGCAACAGGGGACTGTCCATTCTTCAACTGAGAGCTGGGCAAAGAGAAGAAGAAGAAGAAGAAAAAACATTCGGTGAGAGGGAGACCTCAGCTGATCTGCAGGTCAAGTTGCACCAGGCAGGAGAAGGCGATAAGGAGTGGATCTGACTGTCTGCAGGAGCGAGCTCATCATGGAGCCGTTCTGCCTGGATGTCCGCATGGGTGAGTCAAATCTGTAACTTTTAAGAAATCAAGTATTTTACACCATGGAAAACTCTCTTCTGACAGATTTACTTCTTTTTCAAAAAGCTTTACTTTAATGTGAAACTTATGTCTAAAAGGATCATTTGCTCATGACCTAAGGCAGCATCAATATGATATAAAACCCTCTTATGTTCTTCTGTAAAGCTGCTGTTAACACATTTCAGTGCAGAGATGTATTTTGTCATTGGCAGGGTTGTCTTGAAAGTTATTGCATCATTTATTTTATCTACTTTACCCCAGTTTATTCACAGTATATCTTTACTTGTGTGAGAACACTGAGATCTGGTAACATTTTGAGTCCCAATATGAAAATTCTTGCGATTTTGGGTAACAAAGAGGCATTTGACCAGCTATAATTTTATCACAAGTTTCAGACCGAGACTTGGCAGAAGAGAAAACCGCCGTACCACAAAGATGCTCTGGTGTGTTTATCATGAAGGACTAAAGATTATTGATTTTGAGAGTGTGTTGTCTGGCTGTTTATATGTGTGTATTTGTGTGTGAATGCACGCGTTTGTGTGTATTTGAGCTGAAGGGGGAGCTGGCGCGTACCCTTGGAATGTGTTGCAACAGACATGGCCATTTAGTGGGCAGGCATAACTACATCCTCTGACTTGTGCGATTGTGTTCTGGATTTCTTAACACGTATTGGTCCCTGCAGACTTGTTGTACTGTCGGTAAAAGGTCTTCTCTTTCACACTTGTGAAATCCTTCATTGTTTCCTTTGCTGCAAGAAGTAGAGGCTTCAGTAAATCATTTGTTACTCAATTTTTTATCATTTAATTTATATTCAGCAGCTAATACATAAAAAAACAAACAAAAAAAACATTTAAGCTCCTTTAAGGGATATTCTGGGATAGACACACTGAGTTAGACATTCCCTTGCGAGATGAATGTCGCTGACTGCTTGCTTCTCTTGTTATACCAACTTTAGTAACGACCACATGATAGCAATACACAGAGGTCTACATCTCCAAGTGCAAACCTCAACCAGAAATCCACTCTATAGCCACAAATAATTATATATACTATAAACTGTAAACTTTGAAAGAACTTAAGCAATCACAGACAATAACTCAGCTGCAGATTTTCAAAGTTAAATTTTTTGAATCAATAACGTCGTTTAAATCACATCTTAAAACTCACTTTTTTAGACTTGCCTTTACACAATGCATGATTTGTTTATTTTATTGCCTGCATACCACCTGTTTAACCTTGTCAATTATTGTTGTTATTATAATACCTGTTTTTAACATTTTCTCATGTTTTAATATACTCCTTCACTTTTCATTATTGCTCTTATTTTACCTGATCTTATTTAATTATCGATGTATGTATTTTTCTTTATTTTATCCGTCCTCTATCCACCCTCTTCTTTTCACCTTCCTGATGTGATGCTGTCAACCATCAACCGCCAATATGTAACTCCTTTTTTTCACTTTGTCTGATATTGTTTGTTTCTTCTGTTAAGACACTTTGTAAACATCTCTTTTTAAAGGTGCTGTATAAATAAAGTTATTAAATATTAAACCCACACATATGCTGGTGTTAATAGGAGTAAATATTAAGAGGATGAAAAGAAATAAGTAGCAGATTAAAAGGAGCTTGGATAAGATTGTTTGACATTTGACGTCATGACCAGCTTCGACAGACTTCCCACCCAATTTCGACCGCGGCTGTGAGGGAACGGTTGTGAACAGTCAAATCTATAACATTTCGAGGGCGGAGCTCTTTAAATTTTCCAGATATTTTCTATAATTCACATCTGTTCTGATTTTATCTGTTTGCTATTATTTCTAGAGTGAGATATGTATAACTCAAAATGAGCAGCAAAAACATTCCTATCACAGTCAAACTCATGTCAAACACATAAAAAACTGACATCTATACTGCTGTCAGTAGACAGTATTTTCATGGACGCATCAATCTTAAACTTCATCCAGCTCTTCAGTGCTGTGTGTGTGTGAGAGAGAGACAGTGTGCCAGTATTTCCTGGCCTAAGCTGTACTGCTAAATCACTTGGAAAGCATTTGGCATTCATGTTTCAAGTTTTAAATCAGATGTGTGCAAGAATTTGTGCAAGATATTGTAACATTTGCAAAACATCCCTGCTTGCAACTTCAGCTGATGAGAGAAAATAAATATTCCATCTATGTGGCATCACAGCTGAAGGGAGTTTTGAATTCTAAATAGAGGGAATTTGCAGAAGAGTTTTAACTGTACACTATCCATGAAGACAAGTCTATTTAAAGGGAGCACACTTAGATTAGAGTAGATACAACATTATTTATCCTTTTGCGAAGTTTCCCTCAAGGAAATTAACATGACACCGTGTCAACATAGAAAGAATTATGCACTCCGGCACTAAAAGTACACGTCTTTGCTCTCTGCGTTTCTCTCTGGCTTTTCCAGTTAAGCTGAGAAAGGAAGAAAAGTGTGCTGTGCTAACACACACTGTCAGGAGGCTGTAAGGTATTGATTTCAGGAGTGTATGACAATGATGGGCTTTGACAGCACGCCACATGGACCTGGGCTTAGTCAGACAGGGGCCTGCTCCATCTTCCGTCTGTGAGGGCCCAGGGTCACGTTGGCGAAAGCCCGCATCCCTGTGTGCGCATGAATGCCCTCGAACACGGCCCACGAGGCTGCAGGGAGACAAGAGGGGAGGAGAAATATGGCTCCGATCTTTAACATTTAGATAAGAGCATCAGTTAAATGTCGGCCCTGCAGAGTAAGGGACAGCTAGATTTCATTCTCTGATGTCCAACATGCACTTTTTACCATTGTAAAAAAATAAAATAAAATAAAACACAATATTACCATCATCAAGTAAATAATCTGTTTTTACCTGCTTCAATTGATACTCTAAATGTGAGGAGATGCCAAACTTGGGTGGCTGTTTATCTTATTTTTAGAAGATTTCATATTTACAGATGATTAACATTTTGTTAACATTTATTTTAAATTATATGAAACAGGGATTTTAAATTAGAGGAAATTGATGGGCTGTCACGAGATTACATTTATTGTTTTGCTTTTATTTTGAAGGTCCACCACCACAGAGAGATCTAGATTGGTCACTGAACTCTATGTAAGTAAATGTCTATTGTATTAGTGTCTCCTGAAGATGCACAAACTCTTCCGTTGCGTTTTGATAAACAACAATTCAAAAGTGCCCAGCCATCTTTAGGAAGACAAGTTAGCTTCTTCATCTTCATCTTCATCATGTTATATGGCAGGTACCAATCAGTGTACAATAAATGAAAACATAACAATCAGTCAGTTACCCACAAGGTACAACAGTGTGCTTATTTTTAGCACAATATCAATTGTTGCCCTTGTAACAAGAGCATGATAATCATCAGCAATTCATGCTCTATTCTTTATGGACGGCCGTATCAGCCCGATGCTTCATGTCTCTGTTCATTATGTTTCATGGTAGAATTATAGAATAAGAGAAAAGACACACAAAATAGCTCCATGAAAATAGATTGTTAGGCCTCACAATTGTTTTTTTTTATTATATATAGTCTAATGGGGATATTGTTCTTGTGAAGGCCAATATATGATGACAATGTCTTGAAAAATATTATCCATATTGTTATTTTTATTATTATCCATATTATTATTCCATTCACATAGAACTGGTTACTGCCAGTGCGGGCGCTGCAAATCAGGTTAATGCTCACACAAATTTCACAACAATAAACTGAAGATTGAGCGATCAAGCGGGAAATAAAACATTTAATACATCAGAACTAGGTTTGGAAATCAAAAACTGGTTCCTGATGAGAGATCTGCAAGTGATCCACAATGCACAAGTGCTAAAACCTGCAGTTCCCTGAGTGCCCGCCTGAGGCTGGCTGCAGAGATAAGAAACAATGAGCTAAAGCCGTCACTTTCATGTTAATTATTCGAAAACTACCACAGAGCAAACATGAACTGTTTCTGGCTGTAGTAAGCGTGTTTTCTTTGAGGCAGTGTGGAGAACCTTAATGGGAACACTGGGAAAACACTGCTGTCATCCTGTAGGCATCAGTGTCCGAACAATGAACATGTAAAGGCAGCAGGGCACTGGTGTCAAGACAGCGACAGCCTTCAAACCCTCTTTGTTAGCAAACGTCTGCTCTGATGAGATATCCTTAAGCAAGTCACACTCAGTCTTCTCCTCTGACACTCTGCCCTCCCTGCAGGGAAGTTACTCCAACTTCCCCTGTGAGGATTTGGGTGTCACTGTCACTTTAATACCATCACTGGAATATAGCAACTGGTATAGAACTAGAATGCACAGAGAAAGGCTATTGTCTGTGTCCTGCAGCAAGAAGACGCTTATTGATGTTGGATAAAAGTGGGTTTTTAAGACATTATACTTTTTTTTTTAATCATTTTACTCATTCATGTACAAATCCTTCAACATTAGTGTACTAGGGTGAAGCATTTTAATAATCTAGCATGACTCAACAGAGCTCAGCCTGCTACAATGACATCAGAAGGAACATGAATTTACCTGTAATAGGCAAAGTTAGCCTCGATCATTATCAAGTAAACAGTAATTAAACTTGGCAAAGTAACAACTAAAAAATCCTATGTTACAGACAAACACTGCGCCGCTCAGATCATGATTTTCTCGTCTTATTTTATGTTTGTTTTCAAACAGCAAATCAGTCCTACTGACATACTCTCTGCTGTCTGGACACTTGAGGTGCTCTGTTTTAGACGTGTGTAGATTTATGAAAAAATAAAAATCTAAAGTTAAAATCCTGGCACTGGCAGCTAAGCACATCCCAATAGTGAGCAATCTCGAAACATGTACCATCCAAGACTCAAACTAATGAGCTGGACTGAATGAAAGCTTTCATCAAATCCACTTTAAACACTCTAAGCAGTGTTGCAGCCTGTAGGAGTCACTCAGCATGACTGGCTCAGTAATGACCTCCAAATGTGTTTTGTGTGATTGCTGCCTTGAAGCCTCAGTCTCTCCCTCTCTCCCCCTCCTTTCTCTCACACCAGCAGGATCACACAGGAAATTTGTACTCATTTGTTTCACAAAAATGTTGTTGGGTTTCTCAAAGAGGTCAAAACGTACTCTTGTACACAGTTTTTTGTTAAAGCCCTTAACCTAGGGCGGCAGTAGCTTAGGAGGTAGAATGATTGTCCAACAACTGGGAGGTTGGTGGTTTGATTACCCCCTTATCCCTAGTCTGACTAATGTGTCCGTATGATCCGTATGTAAGTTGCTTTGGATAAAAGCATCTGTTAATGACTTTGTAATTGTGACTTAAAGTTTCTGAAATGTTAAGCTTAGACTAATATGTTACAGTAAAAGCAAAATCACACCAAACCAATAATGAACAAATAATAATGAATGAATTAAGAATGAATGAATTTCCCTTTGGGGGCCAATAAAGTTCTTGTATATTATTGAACTTTCATAATCAGTCTGAAGTGTTTTCCATGTTTAGCACCTTAGTTAAAGGGATATTCCGGCGTGAAATTAATTTAGGGTCAAACACACTGTAACACCGAGTTCGACCCCCCCCCCCCCCCCCGAGAGATGAATGTTGCCAACCACTTTCTTCTCTAGTTATACCAACTTTAGTAACGACCACACGATAGCAATACACAGCAATCTGAGGAGCCATAAACAAACCTCAACCAAAACGCCACTCTATAGCCACAACTAATGCTCAGAACAGCACCTAACTTCATCAACAGGACATATAGGGTCCTTGTCATAGTACTAAACACCAATCATCTTTTTAGCCTTGCCTAATTATCTTCGCAAAGAGACTAAACACAACTCACCTACTCTCTTCCAGCAGCCGCTTGTTTTTAGCGAGACCTCAGGCCAGTCCATTACGCACTACAGCGGGGTGACGCAGCTCAAGGAAGAACAGTTATGATCATTTCTTCGTGGAAATACAATCAGACCGAGACGCTAAGGCAGAAGAACTACAGCGTCTGCAGAGAAAAATGATCAATATGGTGATTATTACTTCAAGAAGATGATAAAGAACAAAACATATCAGCCATTTACCATACGGCAGTGTCATCTGTTAAAGAAACATACAGCAAAGGTCTGTAAAAAATCTGACACTTTACAGGTGAACAAAAATTAAAACCTTATTTTCAGGGCAGCAGAGTCATTAAAAAAGACAGGCCAATGGGTTTCAGCCATTGAGGCCTCTAGCAAGCAGGCACCAAGTGGTGGCTCATCTCCTCCCTATAAGAATTAACAAGCTGTCACATGATCAGTAAGGTTACCTTGCCAGGAGGGCACCAGACGGAGAGAGAGAGAGAGAGAGATGCCCTCAATGCTTATATGTATTTAACTGATCATAGTGTAATATTTTGTATTAATAGTTTTAGGAGACTTTACGACACAGTAGGTGGTGGCATACAAGCTGTCATTACATCCAGAGGTGGAGAACAACTTTAGAGCTAGAAAGAGACACGAGTCTTTGCATTTTAAACCTTTAGACAAAATTTGAGATAGAGAGTGTGTGCGTGCGTGCGCGTGTGTGTGTGTGTGTAAAAGCTCAAACATCTTAAAAGACTATTTTTACCAACATACCAGCATGACTTGAGACTAACAATAAACAGAATGTCACTTTCAATAAGGATGCTTACTCAGGAGTGTTATCCATGTACCAAGGTATTATTGATCTGTGAGAAGCCACAACAGCTGAGACAGAACCTCCTGCAGCCTGCTCTGAAACCACCAACCCAAGGCTAGACTCCCTCTCAGGCTGTAACTGATTAGAAGCAGCCGTGGCAAGTGGAGCAGAGGAAGCCAGAATATCAGTCCAAAGTGACAGCGATCAATAGCAATAATGGTTGTGAGGAGAAGTGAAGGACGGGCAGTAAATCCTGTCAATCAGCCTGATGAGGAGGATGTTTATTGGTTGATTTATTACAGCTGCCTTTTTGTCTTTTGGTATCTTTATTGGAATAGTGATAAATAATGCATCTTAGAAAATTACACTGTGTCCTTGGCGTCTTGAATGCAGTTCAGCTGGCAACCATAGTCACTGCTGACAAACGGGTCCATACAATTCCCTGTTGGTCTACAAATGGAGATAGCATCATTACCGTAGACTTTGTCCTGACAGTCACTGACACTTCCTCTTTCCAAAAGTAAAATATAAACAGAATATTCTGTAAAAAAGCATAATTAAAAACTGAATTCTGCACATCTTTGAAAGACCAAGCCCGCCGGGTGGACAACAGGTCTTAATTAATTTCATTCTTCTATCTGCATCGTTGTGTGAGAAGCATGTAAACCTTGACAAAAGTGAGGAAAAGAGAGGTGAGTGAGTTATTCCAGGGGAAAATTAGCACCGAATAGGTCTGTAGAGTATTCCCTCTATTCCCACAGAACCACAGAGCAATTAGTCACTGCTCATTAAAGACTACAAGTCCCACATGGCGCACTCCAGCTGCTGCTTCAGCACTGATCTGATTCTTATTTGATTTCATGTTCTTACACCGGAGAGACGATGAACATTAACAGAGGACAGTGAGGTGAGGAAGAGAACAGGAGAGAAACGGGAACAAGTTGCACACATTAAAGAATGTGTTACTCCAACACCAACGGAGGACTTAATGTTGGAAAAAGTGGTCTGGGTGGGATTCTGTTTCACAAACACTCTCATAACACTTTATCCCACCTAATTGCCCAAGAACCAACCAAAGAAGCAAACAAAGAAACTCTTGTTAAACTATTTTACTGTTTTGTGTTGTGTTTTTTTGTCAATTGATCGGCACAATAACAAATACAAAATGCATACAGAGACACAAGGTACATAATTATGCAGGCAAGAGAAGAAGCCCAAGAGCTCGTAAAGAATCCCCCCCTTGAAAATAAAATCACTTTATTAAATCATAGAAAAAGAAAAGAGAAACGAGCAATAAAAGGAAAAAAACAATAAAAGGAACAGAGACTAAAGAGATGATTTAACCATGCAGCTAGCATGCTTGCTAGCAAAGAGCTGATGGTAGGTTGAGAGTGAGAGCACTCAGAGGATTGATTAACCTCAGTCAGATGTATATGGTTCAAGTGGTACATCATTGGGGTTGTTGTTGTGTTGTACTTGTACATGTCATTGCAGTGTTTGCAGCAAACCTCATCATTTTCCGCTCAAAATGGTCCCACACCACACTTCGTCTTGCGTTCTTAATGTTTTTTTTTTTTACTTCCACGGAAGCTCGCTTTTGTGCGATCAACATAATTCTTTACTGATCAATTAATCCATCAATGATTAATTGTGCCCATCCCTATCTGTTACCCTACCAAAGCCCATACCGTGTTGCAGCTTGTATTTGCTTTGTATCCATTTTCTTCAATTTGGTTGTCTCTTTCGCTCAACATAAAAACATGCTTTTTTTGTTACTTCCCTGCTTTATCCTTTTGTCTTTCTTTTTCCTGCCGCTGGCTGTTCAGCCATTAACACAAATACAGTTTTAATTAACAGACAAATGTGAGGAGTGATCGGGTCGAGACCCAGGACCCAACTGACTGAAGTTGGGTCTGACTGACTGAACAGACATGCTGACAGTGCTTTGATGTTGGTTTAAAATGATATTTAATTTTCTGTACTTTGAATGAGGCCTCAGCATCCACCCCTTTGATATCTGTAATTGTTGGCATCATCTTTGGTCTTAACACTGACGACCGATGTAAAAATCACAGCTAGTGACACAGAAATGCAACTTGTTTTCTGCAACACTAAAACAGCAATTCTTCTCATTTTATTGCTGCTTGATTTGAACCTTTCCTGATCAGGATGCCAAGGCTTCATACTGCTGTCATAGAAAAATCCATGTTAGGACCACTTCTCTCCCAAGCTGTTCAAACAGTCTTCTAATAAACGGGTCACCTTGAGAGTTTCCAGTTTCATTACTTTCCCTCTTCTGCTCAGTCTCATGAGTCTTGGTGGCCTTTTCCTTTGTGATCCCCAGTGAATGGTGCAGGCAGCAGGACACATGAGCGGCTCTCTCCAGAGATCTAGCCCTAGCGCTCTCAGGTGATCTGCTTGTGTGGATCCATTTACCGGCAGAGCAGCTGCTATGGGAGTTTTGAGCCCTCTTAAAAGTCTGTGCAGGCTATGGTTACAGTCTGCAAAGTCTGAGGCAGTGGTGGAGAGAAGGGACAGCTTAGGGCCAGGGGGGTTCTGTGGACCTCCTGCTGAGGGTTCAAAGAGAGGTCTCCTACAGCTGTGGCTCTCAGGGGAGGTTCAGAGGGCCATACAGGCAGTAAGAAAGGGGGTTAGGGTCACATGGCAACTCAATCTGACCCCAAAAACTATGTGTACTGATTCACATATCTCTTGAAGTGTCCTCCAGTAAAGCCTGTTATCATGTCTATGTCATTGCACCTGAAAACATGGTGGTCCTGTTACTCCGTCAGAACAAGCTACAATAAGACCTCTCTCTGCTGTCTAAGAAAAGTGGGTTCTGCATGTAGCCGTTTGTTGACCAGTGTACTAAAGCTGCTGTGGCTCTCTTTTAGGCTCTGCAGGACCATACTGGAGTTAAATATCTCCATTCACAAACTGCAGAGAAACTTCGTTCCTCTGTTTTGGTCCCTTGGGAAAATTGGTCAAGAGAGCTGAGGGTTTTTAAAGTGATGCCTCCAGAAAATGTTATGTTCTTTCATTACTGCAACGCATTCATTGCAAATGAGGCATGATGGTTTTGTGTTTGAAGATGGCAATAAAACTCAATGAATACTTTGCAGTCCAAGCAGGGTTAAATAAATGGTTCGATTTTTGACTTTGATGTGAATGGCGTTTTCTAAAGCTGGGCTACTGAGCATGGTCTGAATGTTTTTAACAGGACTTCTTCTGTGAACCTCTGTTACAGTCAGATCATATGCATGTGCATGTGCAATTCTTGACAGAGTTAGGAATAAAATCAGATGGCTTACTTGCAAGCTACTCTGGTGCCCACCGCATGTGCTGCTTTACAGTGTTGGAAAAAAGTTTGGAATATTTGTCAATTCAACCCCAGCCTCGTGTTTAACGCGGTCTGCTGCTTTCTGGAGAATTATTCAAAGACTTTTTAATGTTCCCTGGTCTCTGTGATATGTTTTTGAAATTCACATCAAACTATTTTGTTTCTCAAAAAATTGTAGGGCGGACACCTCATGATTCACAAAAAGCCATAGAAATAACACATAAAATCATGAGTCGGTATTTAATAAATAAACGGCTGTAATTTTAAATTTCCACAAAATACGTGGACCATCTTTGAAAGCAACATCAAACATAACAAGACGATAACAACAATACAGTCAGTACTTTGTGTGACCGCCTCTAGCATTGTACAATGCGTGTACACGTCTGGGCATGCTAGTCACTAGGTTGGTAAGAGTTTCAACCGGGATTTCTCGCCAGCATTGGATCACAGCCTGAGTCAGTTCAGCCACGTTTGTTGGAGGATCATTCACGTTACACGAAGAACTGAAGGAAATATTCCAAACTTTTTTCCAACACTGTATGAGGATGATGAGTAAATTTACATTGTTCAGTCAATAATTGAAACACTGTGGGGCGTCATGACTCACAACATTTAACTGGTACGTACTGGTTCAGATAAGATACTTTTACTGATTGGCTTTTTTTCTGGATCCATTTTAAACAAATACCCAATAATAATGATAACCTCTGGTGAGTGGTCACCTCCAATCAGCAGCTGATGGACTCTTGATCAATAGGCGGGTCCAGCTGTTCATATGCCAAAGTGTCTTTGGGTAAGACACCTGACCCCACCTGCCCCTGCTGGTTTTTTCCAATGACGGGTGAGTGGGAATAGTCAAGAACTGATAGATTCTTCTTACGTAGCAGTTTCTGCCATCACTGCGTGGATGTGACATGAGTGGGTGAAGGTGACGTAGTAAAAAAGTGCTTAGAGTGATCAGAAGACATGACTTCAGGACTTTTTGGTAGTTGTACCGAGTGAGCAGTGTCATGCATGAACACACTAAAATGACACACTCATTGTGCGCATTAATATCTGGATAAATGGTAAACTGAAGGCTCTAGCATCTCATGATAGGAATGTGACTGTAGCTGTCCCTGTGGGGAGGGGGATCCAAGACGCAACACAGCTGAGCTGTTAGGAGTCGTGGAGCACTCTGTCATACAGTCGGAGTTACAGCATCCTGAGGCTCCAGGCTGCAGCCACACACTCAAGTAAGGGACTCAGGTGTGGTTCGTGGTGTTGATTGATCTCCAGGAGTTTAGAGATGATCAGATTAGATTCAATTCATTTAAAACTGGTCTGGTTTTGGAGAGGAACAGGATTTTCGAAAGCAAAGGAATTTTTTTTCTTTATTGTAAAAAGGAGATATCAAAAGACTCTCACCAAAATGTTTTCAAGATGAAACCTTGAGCCAGTTATTCAGCCAATACATTGCAGTTAGGTGTGTAAGTTTTATATTTGCTTTACAACTGAATATCTGTCTATGATTCTTTAAAAAAAAATACAGTAAATCAGGAAGTTTAGGAAACGACAATTATTAAGGCTTAAAAGAAACTAGTCATTTCTAACTGAACTTGGAGCTGGTTAATTCTCTGCTACAGTATTTATTCATTTTTAAGTCATTTGCACAACATCACGAAGGATTTTTGGAAAAGACACTTGCTTGGGCATTTATGTGGCTGGGTTGTTCATGCACCAGATTTTGCCCTTGACTGTATTAATTAATATCAAACTACATTAGCCTAATGTCTTTCGACTGTATTTGAGTCAGTGTGATATTCCAGTATCCAGATAAAAGCATTCCAGACTAACACTTCCAAAAACAAACCAAAATAAATACTCTTGAGTACAAGGAGGCCCTTTCATTACTCTATTTCCTGAGCTTTGATCAGTAAATGACCCAATAGTAGATCTTTAGATAAGTATAAACGAACTACAAGTGTATCTGACTTTTCAATCACCCTGCCTATTCTTGTCTCCACTAGTTAGAATGTTCCAGTAACTGGATACTGTATAAATATTTGTCCGACATAACTGCAGGCCCATTCAGCTTATCCTCAGACTTCAGCTCCAGTACAATGGCCCCTTATCCCAACCAAGTAACTCTACACTGGCCTCCCTGGTCATTATTGATGGCCTAGTAAGTGTTACAGTTACAAACCAATTACTCTACCATTAATGTTAGATGAGCTGCTCTACAAGTACAGCTTGATGCTTATCAGCTTTCCCCTGTTACCTGCTTTTTTACTTTCACTAAATTGCACACCTTCCTGCTCACGGTTTCAGTCTCCAGTAAGTAGGAGGTGAGAGTGACAGCTGGCAGTCTTAACCCCTACGTCAGGGGAAATTTCTCCCAGTTCAAGAGGTAGAGAAGTCAAGAGGTGAGCAACATGTCCCCGCGGTGACTCTGGGAAATCTGGTGACCCAGTAAAGTGATATCACACCAGTGAAGAAGAGAAACGGGGAGGAGGGGAAAAAGAACAGAAGTGGGGTGTGGAGATCAAATGCTGCCACCTCCGCATGTGGTTTTACCGGCACACAGAAAGAGTGTGTCTTCAGGTCAATGCGAGGTAGAGCATTTGAGTGACACGCTCACGTACAAACAGTAGGTTTCCCCCAGATGTGTGTTTGATATATGCCAGACAGGTCAGAGCAGAGGAGACGAGAGACAGTTCCCAAATCAAGTCAACACCCTGAACATCTCCATCAACAGCCTCGACTGAGAGACGTCTGTCACCACATCCTCTCACTAACACTTCCCCTGAAGAGAAACTGATACCAAGTGTTAACCCTGCTGTTTAACCTGAAATACTACTGACGGTACAGGGAGGAGCTGAATCGGAAAGGAGAATCTCAATAAGAAATAAGAAATTCGAGAAAAAATATGAAGTTTTGATTTGTCTTTTTATTTAAAAAAAAGATACTGGTCTATATGTGTGAAAAAATAAAAAAAGTGAAGTGCAGCTATGGTTACAGCCACAGTCCTAGTTCCAGTATACAAGCACCAGGAAATAATCGATTTCCTTTAAGAAGTGTCCATGTCTGCTGCGGCAGGTGCCAATATGACCCTTACAGCCTGTTACTTTTGGGCCACTGGCTATTACGACTTCAGAGGTTTTGTTTACTACTAGGCTTCCCAGCAATGACTTAATGTGGTGCAACTTTCAGGTCAAAGCCAGACGTGGAACTATGTAGTGCTATAAAACACTTGGGCCAGTTTCAGGCGTATTCATGAAACAGAACATCTCTTTTTTTTCTTTTTAGTAAAGTACGTTAGTCCAACTAAGAGAAGTTCAGTTTAGTGTGATTTCAGTTGGACTAACAAAAAAAAATGTACTGGGAGACTCTAGACTGCACTGGAGTCAAAAGCTATTTTTCAGGGTCTGTGACAGTGGTGTCTTTAGATTACTTGTGGATGATTACGTTGCCTCATATGTACAAAAACAATCGGGCAAGTGAGCAAGCGAGAGAGAGAGAGAGAGAGAGAGAGAGAGAGAGAGAAAGAGAGAGAGAGAGAGAGACAAATCACTGTTGTTGCACTCATGTTAGCCATACATCAAAGTAGACCTCTCATTCAGGGAATGCATCTATTAAGGCAGCCAGGTACAAAGTACACATGCATCAATAATAATCTCAGGAAGGAGGTATAGAGTCCCTCTATGTAAACACAACAGGTACACGCACGCATTCATCCCACTGTCAGTGAAGCTCAGAAATGAGCGGATGGTACAGGAGGGACGGAGACGATGATGAGAGGTTAAAGGATGTTATACTGATTTTGCACAGATGTATTGTACTATTGTGACTTTTGAGTATATCTCCGCGTTTTTAGCATTAGTATAAATTGTATATATTGTCTATCTACCCTAATTATCTGTTTATTAACTTTTCCATCTCTATTGATTTTGTAATTGCTTTGCATTGTATTTACTGCTTGTATTTTTATTAGTTGATTTTTTTAGGGAGGTTTTGTGAAATGTGTGGGTTATCCGGTCTGCAGCAGACCCCTCTATCCAAGATAGATTTCTCCCATGGGAGTCAAATAAAGGCACTTTGACTTTGACCCATAATTTTACAAACTCCATGGACAATTGTTTTGCAGCCTCATACCTTGAAGTCTTACTCATCACTTCTCACTGAAAATGTCGACCTCATGGTGGAGCTGTAGACAAAAGTCCAGTATCTGGAACATAAATTCAATGACCAACAAGGATAATCACTGCTCTCACTAACTGCACCACTCATAACCTTCTAGTTCTCCGACACAGGAAACGTATTCTCTCATTCACATACACATATAGACTCTCTATCGCTCTCTCTCTCTCACACACACACACACACCTATGTCTCCGTAGGTGGTGTTGCTGAAGCCATACATCAGCAGTTTTGCAGAGGAGCATGTCCTTAAGAATATGATAAAGAGGAAGCAGGCATTTCCTCCTCAGGAGGGATGTTTTCCGCTGAACGTCCTGTCTGATTAGTGAGACCAGAGCCTCTTCCCCTGAACTGCACCTCTCCTCACATTTACAGAAAAGGTCTCATGTCATACAGCATGTTGTGAAAACGCTCTCCATTGCACTGAGACAGAAAGTGGCTGTATTATTCATCACTCTGCTTTAGCTGGCACTCCATCATGAAATTGTCATGAGATAAGTCTTTGCAGCTTTGTACAGACTTTCCCCTGCTTTAACCCAGATAATTCAGCCAACGCTTCATCTAAATAGGCTATTTGGTTTGCAGGAGTGCATATATTCAAACAATGGAGGCCTTCAGTGAATTCATATTTTGGGCTTTAAAAGGGTAATGTTCCCACAGCCAGACAAACTCAGAGTCAAATTTACATTTTTATTCCAAGCAACAAAGCCATAACAAACTTCAGGAAAAAAAGAAAGCTACGATGTGATTGGTGGCCTTGACTGCAGAGGAAGTCTGAGGAAAAAGCTGCTCAGCTGCGTAAAAAGGGGAGTCCGGCTGGTCTCCTCTGGAGTCCGTCTGGGGGCTGTTGAGGAGGAGATGCATTATCTGAGTGTCCAGAGAAAGTGGGGGGAGAGTGGCCTGCTGAAGTTTATGGAGATTTATGGCTCCTTCTGAGGCCTTAATTGCCTCCTCCTCAGTGGGGAGTCCTGGGAGGCCCGTGGTGAGCAATGACCAGCCCTGCAGCTCCTGCAGGTGGGCCCACCAAACATGCTGTTTACTGAGACTTGTTATGGAGACAAATGGTGTCACGGAGCGCTTCAAAACCAGACGACAAACAAAGAGGAGGAAGAGAAAAGAGAAGAGACGGACAGCTGGCTGCTGAAAGGGTTCAAGACTTCAACTTGGCCTTTAGAGACACAGGAAGAATTATAGGGGCTTTAGTTTTACTGCTACCTGTTAAATATCTGCCTCTGATGAGCGCTGAGATCAAGCAGTAACAGGAGGAAACGTTTGAACTTGATCTGAGGATGTTAAATCTTCTGATGAAGAGATAAAAAAAACAGAGTAGTTATTTTGTCTTTGAATATAAATGTTTACTTGGTAGGTGTCTCTGTAAGATATAATCCCTCTGAGAGTTCAGGCCAAAAGAAGTCCATATAAAAGTAGCTGCAAACATCTAAAGAAAATGTTGACCCAGTTTTCCTTTTTTATGAAACTATCAAGCACATGTGTTTTAAATTCGCATGAAAAGCACTTTTTCAGCATTTATAATGTTCTTTTACTGTTTTTTTTTTAGTTTGTTTTTTAAAATATATTTTACTGTTTTGCCGTGTATGAAGAACCATAGAGGAGTTTTCCTGAGATACTGCAAGTAATGTCAGATTATTAAAGACACAAAACATTTGCATTGTTTACTAAGCAGGTTATTAATCAAATGATTTCATAAACCATCCAACATACACAAAGTCCTGCAGTAGGAAGAACAGTCTGTGTTTTTAGACCGCAGAGTTGATGCTCCAGTTTAAAGTTCTCCATTAGCTGGCTTGTTTATCGACAGCCTGGTGTCAATATGATGGCATTCACCTGGATTCACCGAGTGAGTCAATAACAGACACACAGCTTTACAGAGCGGGATCATGGTTTGTAGTGCTGATATCTTGTCTCTTGGAGCGTTTCATGTGTTGTTGAAGTAGAAGTAGATTCTTAATGAAACGTGTTTTATTTCTGAGGGTGCTGAGCAGTGAGCCAAGACCCCTGAATATACCATTGAACCCAAGAGCGGTAAATTTGCAGAGAGAATGCAGTCACTCAACAGCTAGAACACAAAAATGTTCTATTCATCAGACTCACTATTTCAATCTACTTTAACACAAGCCAATGATGCAAGGCGTACAACAGGACTTGACAACATCTACTGGTTTAATCACGAATTCTGACCGATCTTTCCAACCAGTCGGGTTTGTTCTCATCACTCAGTACATGGAATATCCCCTCAGGGATGAATAAAGTTCTTATTGTATTTACATCTTCATAATAATTGATTTGTTGTCTGACTCCGACTGAAACTGGACTTTAAAAGAATCATGTAAACACATTAGTTGGATGAAATTGAATTTCTCACAGTCGAGTTGACGTACCTGGATAACAAAGTTGATCTCCCCTTCCATCCCCATCACATTAGAATCAGCCGTCGCAATCTGCACATGCCTGGTTCACATAATTTGATTGTTTCGATTCCTTGTGACCCGAATATGTCTGAGCTGTGGGTGCGCCAAGACTTCACATCAATGATGTTAAAATGATTTTTACAGAGTAGCCAAATTTCACCAAAAATGTAAATAATGTAAAAATGTAAATGTAAAGACCTACTTTTCTCAGACATATATATATATATATATATATATATATATATATATATATATATATAAAATATATGTTTCTGTATTAACTGGAATTTTAGATGTTTTCTTTTGAATGTGTCTGAGAAAAGTAGGTCTGGTCAGTGGGACTTGGTATTCAAATGTCAATAGACATTCACGATTGTGAACGGCGCCACTTATCTGTAAAGTGAGTGTACCCTCATGGCTGAGGCCAGCAGTCACTCACTGTGACACAGAGTGACACGGTGAGAAGTAGGACAAGTTAACCAACAACTGAGGCTGAGTTTTTTATTTTTTTATTTTTTGAAGAAAATACATACCAGTGTGGTAGAGACAGCTAAGACATAAAATAATAGAGTGGAAATATACATCTAGGTATGTTGCTGTACTGCACAAAGGTATATACCCATCCCCCATTACCAGGTGGTAATCTTGACCCACCCCAGGCGACAAAGTTATGGAGCTTCTGGCATGGATTTCCCCAAGTCCCTCACTCCACCTCTCATAACTGTTTCTATAAAAAGTGCGTGCAGTGAGGTTCCTATCTGCCAAATCTCCAGCACAGATTGTTCTTTATTACAGCTATTACATAAAGTTTCACTAGTGCAAAATAGTAACTATGAATAATATTTTAATGGGTGTAATTACCATCCTATATTTGTCACAGTGGCTTTATATGCAGCCTCCTCAAAATTACAGTTAAGACATTTTTTTTTTGCCAAATCAGTCCATAATAGTCATATTTCCAACTCAAAGCATTTTGTAGACGTATTTTGAATGACTGAGGCTTACTGCGTTTTTGTTTTTTTTTTCTTATGGCATTGGTGTTTAATTTACACCTATTATCACCTGTTTTGTTTGAATAAATAAAATATATATCTATTTTTAAATAACCAATATGTTCGTTAGATCTTTACTGACAGGTTTTTCTTCACAGACATGATCTGAGAATCCCACCTTATATCCAAGATTGTCCCATATCCAAGCCAATCATGTTTTTTTCTCTCCTGTTTTATCCTCCCATAACCTGCTGTAGCTGTCATCAATTTTTACTTGAAATGAAAATGTTCCAATCTTAATAGGGTTGTTCTAACACCTTTCTAATTTTAAAGGCCTTGCGGAGAAAAGGTAGTGATGTGTTCAGACTCTTAGCAGATGACAGGCTCATGTTTATTGCAGGGGAACATGTCTTGAGTGACTGTGTGATGAGCCTCGGAGTGAGATGGCAGTAAGTGCACTAATGACTGCCAACAGTATGGCCACTCAAACCATGAATATTGGATATGAATAGAAGCACATTCACACCGAACCATGCAACACTACCTCTCCTCCTGTTTCATGTCGAGCTGGGACTCGTTGAACTGAGCTCACCTGTGGACACTGAGAACAAACGTTGTCGCTGTGAAGGTGTGAAGTGTGAGAAATACTAGAAACTGTGACTGTAAGAGGGAACAAATGAAGCAAAAGACTAAATGCTTTGCCATTGTCTTCAATTAGGTGATTGGGTAACAGACAGGTGCAAATGCATAAAATGCAAATGCAGCTATGTTTACCTTCATCCTAGTATTAATACCCATGCTTTTCCTAATGATTACCATCATTACTTTCAATCAGCTTTGTTCCACCGCCCACCTGCCCATTAAGCCCCGGCACTACAGGAACATCGAGCAATTTTGTTGTTTCAAATTTTAGCAGGGTAGTCATTAGAAAATTAACCTCTGCCATTAAGTCATTATTGTGCATAAAACGTGGAGCAGGTACCAGGCAACAGGCCTCAATTAATAGATGAAATAAGCTCTGTGAGCCATCTGTGGACTTTTTTTCATGTTCTCTGAACCAGCGAGAGGACTGACGCTGCTCCATTATTCCGCAGCTACGGTTCTACAGTAATCTTAGATCATCATGAAGGCCATTTAGTAAATGACCCTAAAGCTGTAGAGCGCGCTGCTTATTTCTAAGCAAAAGGTTTTCTTTCAAAAACAACTTAATCCTTGTGTTCTTCCACGAGAAACATGATTACAGAGTATATTATTACAGAGATTTATTTTTTCTCTTCGTACAGATCCAGTCTTCTTTACAAGGTTCCAATATGAAAGTTATTAAAGGAAAAGCAGAGTCAGTAGATATGCAGGGTTAACACAGTGGTAAACAAAACTTAGCAACCAAACACATCTTCAGCAAAAAAAGAAAAAATTGAACAATCTTATGTCAAAGGTTTTTTTTTCTCTTGCACTTTACTTTTTCAATCTGTCAAAAAAAATGTCCTTAGAGGTTAAATACATTATGACTTCAGTTAACAAGCTGGTCAAATGTAGAAGACCTCTCATGCGGGTGTCTTTGAAAGCATGTCGGGGTGGGTGTGTCCTTTAGTATTGTACTAATAATGTGTCAGGGTCAGGCCAAGTCTTGTGAAGGTCTTGAAACAAGCTGTTCAGGGAAACCAAAAACACATCCTGGGATCATGCCAACGTCCATCCACCTCATGTTTGGAAACCCTGCCAAGGTATACATCTTAGCATTGTATAAAAGATGTGCATATTCAAATGTGGACCAGCGTAGTGTTTTCTGTCTCATTATCTACAGCAATTACATGTGAAAGCTGAACTGCTCATAGACAATGTCGATGTGTTCTAGGGTTCATTTTTCCTCTCTGTTATTCCTTGTATAGCCAATGAGACCCGAATACAAACAGAAACCAGAGCGCTTACAAAATAAAAAAAGACCCGCCCCATGCCTATCGTCATTTACAGATAGCAGAGTATACATCCAAAATATACTTTCAGTGTCTTCTGTTTCATTATATGTGGAAGTCACTTTATTGCTTACCTTTGATGGTATCTGCAGGGTTGAAAATGTGGGAGTGTGATGGATAGATGTGTGGATGGCTGTGTAGTAGGCTTTATTAGCTTTGTGCACACTTTCACCTTCTTTAAATCTAAACCTGTTTCCCACCTCTGAGCTTTTGAAGCCAATTGAAGCCAATGTACCATGAGTGCAATCGCACCATATTTAGAGCTTGTTCCATTTGAATCCTGTATTTAGTCTAAAGTCCAAAGACTGACATCAAAAAGTCCTGTTTGCCAAATAGATAACATATTTACTGACTACTTGACCCTACATCTTGCGCTCCGAACCAAATTTGGAAGAGGTGCTGCACAAAGCCTTGGGAATTATAACTCTGATCCGCCTGATCTGAGGAAATAGTTCAGTGTTGGGCCACAAAGTCTGCAAAAGTAGGTCTGGGTGGATGGAGGGGTCAGTTCAGTCCCTGATGTGAGAGACTCCTGTCTTTGCCTAGATAGTTAGAGCTGTCTTTGTTTTTTTTTTATTTATTTAATTTGTTTTTATTTAGTATTTATTTGTATGTAAGAACACTTTTATCTATCTTTGTCCTTTTGCTAATGTTTCACGTATCTACGCCCAGTGTCGGGGTAGTTACTCATAAAAAGTTATTTGTTTCTAGTAACTCGTTATTTCTGTAAATTGTAATGAGATTATTTATCAAGTTACATTTGAAAAGTAACTTCACTACTTATTACTTTACCTTCCCATTTCTTAATTTTCTGTAACACATAAAGGTGCATTGTTTAGTAAAGTAATTAAGTTACTGATTTTTTTAGTGTAGTGCGTTACTTTCTTTTGTCACTGCCCGTTACTTTGTAGTGCGTTACCCCAACTCTGTCTTTGCCATAGTTCATGGAGTTTCTTGGTAGTAATTTTGTAGACATTTACCAGTACCAGCACTGGTACGAGGTGGAGATGGGGTAGGCTCTGTGGCGAGGCTGAAGCAGTAGAGGTGTTGATGCTGCTGGTGATGATGGTCAACACAACTTCAAGAGGCCTGAAACATGGAAGCAGACCCTGACATTGCCAACCCTCACCCACCCAGATTCATCCCCAATCACAGCCCTGGTGTCCAACTCCCTCTGACCACTGGCACCACAACACCAGATGAGATTTTTGCTCAGTAGAAGCCAATGACACGCCAGGCTTACCAGGAGGAGTTGTGTGCAAAGCCACTGACTGGCCTACCCAAGCCCCCCACTCAAGGCCACTTTCCTGTCCCCACCAGCAGCAGAGAGGACACTGAGGGAAGACAGAGGGCAAGTCTGGGGAGGAAACAGCACACTCTCGGCAAAAGAAGCACACCCTGGATGTGTGAGGAGTGCAAGGTCGGGCTCTGTCTTCAGCTGGACAGGAACTGCTTCAAAGACTTTCACTGCGGCCAAAAAAGGGGCAGGACATGGACGGTTAAAACAACCTGTAGCATGGACACGGAGAGCTGTAGGCAAACACCCAGAGAGCTCTAGGTGTCTTTTTTCCTTTTTTGTCATTTCACAATTTAAAGCGTTTATAACATAATGACAAATACTTGCTAGATTTTAAAGTTATTTTTATCCTGAAAAAAAAATAAACTAAAATAATCACACAGACTGTCATAATAACAGTTTATAAAATGGTTAAGCACAAACCCCAAAGACAGAGAGGAGCTGGACATACATAAGACTTTAGGCAACACGAACGTAAGAGACTGTCGATCTCTGAAACCGTTCAAAGAGGCATTACCCAGATACACAGTCCCCATGGGAGAAGATATGGTGTATGTCACCATCTGTTTCAGCTTTAATAAGTGAGGATTTACATTGAGCATTGTTGATAATTCTGGCCTCCAAAGCCTCATTTTGTTTCCATTCACACATGCAAGCATTTAATGAAGTGGCGATCCTAAAACTGTAGGCAGAGGTGAAATAGCATCAACACAGTAAACCCTGAGGTTTGTTCTGACAGTATGTTATTCATTGTAAAATGATCGGTTAATCCTTTGCGGCCAACGTCAAAATAACTTACATAAACAGCTTAGTATTAATGTTTACACTTATTAGATATATGTGTGTACGATTCATTGATGAAGTAGGTAAAAAGATGGGGTGTAACATCAATTTGTGAACATGAACATAGGAATGCACGTGCATGTGTAAAACTCAATAAGACACTACAGTGTTGAGACTTAAGACAACAGTTCGTACAAGACTGTTAGGAGAGTAAAGTTAAAGAATGAATTACAAAAAACAACCATGTAACTTTGATCAGAATGACCCTCGTACAATTTACAACTGCTCTCAGAAAACCTCTTCAAATTAATATAAAAACAGAGACTTTGAATATAATACCACTAAACTGAGCTGAACTGGAAGTCGATTCACAGCCGTATGAGTTTGAATTGGAATCATTCAGGGAGTCGGCAGTAACCCGTCCTAGATCTCATGAATGATTTCTTTTGTAGGCCGTTTGTGCAGCACTGAAAGATGATGCTCCGTGTGGTGAAATACAGAATTCCCTGATTTGGCTCAGCGGGCTGTTTTTCATCTTTGGAAGTAAGGTACAATACCTCTGTCAAACAATAAAGACTCAAAGTTACAAAAGTAGAGAAAGTTATTCAGGCGACAGTCACAAGACGTAACCTTCATGAAAGCGTCTGTTGTTGTTGTCTTTGTTTCTCTCTTCACTAAAGTAGAAGAGTTTAATACAGTTTATTTCTCTTCTCTCAAGATGATAGCACATAAATTGTTTAATATAGATGGAAAAGGACAAGTGTTTAACCAACTTTAGTTTTTTGCAAACTGGACCCTTATTGCGAACGATATATGAAAAAACAACAGTGGACGCTGAATCAGGGCCCCTAATAAAGCAGAGATGTATACACAGGCCTTGGTTGCCAGATCAGATGTGTAAATGCGGTGGCTCCACTCTGCCTGACCCAGTTGCTGGGAACTGGAGCTCCAAGCGCTGTAGTCCCTGTGGTGGGGAACCCCCTTGCCTTCCCCCCATTCCTCCGTCTAATGAAGACCAGAGGAGAGGATATCAGGCCCTCCATCAGCCACAAGTCCACTTCACATATGTTTTGATGAATCTCCGCTCATGTGCTGAGACCCTGCGAGCTCAGGGGATTGCGTCGCCGAGCCTTATCAGCATTCCTCGGAGGACGCAGTCAACACAACCACATGGGCTATCTCTGACAGGCAAACCCCTCCACTCTCATGCAGGCAACACCTCACTGTTTGATCATGTGATGTTCTGGGGGGCCGGGGGGCTGGATTGTTTGTGCGATCATGATCACATGCTGTAATTTGTCGTGAAGCCTGTTGAGCACTGAGCTGCTGCAGTGGGGTTAACTTTGGGATTTTTCAGAGGAGTTTTTCATGTGATTGACAGCAAAGTTTTCTCTGGTACAAAAACGCAGCTTGAAGCTAAACAGGATCTCTTTTAACCTTTCATCCTACTCTTGCATGCTGTAGTTCTCCAACTGTAATCACTAACTGTCATTCTGCATGTTTTGACAAGCCGCTCTTCTTACCTAGTTTATATTTAGTTGCCTTACTTGTTGTTTACCGTCCTTAATTAGAAGTCCTTTGGCTTTTGATTGGACAATACAGACATTTCAGATGTTACACTGGGCCATAGAAGTTTATTGTTGGCTTAGTACCAAGTTCCTTGCATACGATTAGTTATGAGAAACTTAATTCTCTTGTCTAAGAAAAAAACAAAAGCTATGATTTACACGCAGACTATTTGTTCAGTGGAAATGTAAAAGTCTGTGCTGTATGTGTTTACAACAGGCTGCATACACTGAGGCTAAGAGAGGAGGGTAATCAGAAAACCTCAACGTATAGAGACAGACTTTGATTGGCAGTATATGATTAATGCACAGAGAACAGGGTATAGTTTTACAGTACTGGAAAAGTGGACTAATGCTAGTGTAGAGTGTGTATTTTTCCTGTAAGAGATCAAGAGTTTGTGAGTTTCAGTGTGTATGTTCTCAGATGTGTAAATCTCTTTGAAAGTAGTGCTTTTATTTCTCCAATGACTAAATGTATTGAGAGTTTAAAATATCATATTAACTTTTTTATTCTGAAAGAACTCACAGTTCTGTCTGACCTGCTTTTTCTCTCAGGCTGGATTCCGGTTTTACACGTGACAGTTTTACTCTCGGAATATCAATTTTCTTTTCTTTATAAGGGTCTCAAAAACAAACATCACATACATACTCAACTTGTTAAAAACTGTTACATTGAAAATGGTAGTAGCTCAGGCAGTATGATGCAGCAAACTTTGGTGCTCAAAATGTTTCCAGTGCAAAAGTTTAAAGACCGCAGTTCTCTAAGTGACCACTACTGACTCTAAGGGCCTGATCTACTAAGGTCCCAAATAGTGAACGCTAAATTCCGTGCGCAAACAAAAAAATTGCACATGCTATTAGTGGGTGTGTCACAGGTGATCTATTATCATTGCATGTGCACTTGATAACAGGAGCTAAAGTGGTGTGGACCACCTTCTCTAAACAATGATTTTGCATGCGCTATCGGCTGTAAGCATGGAGAGTTTGTGAGAGCAGAATGATCATGGATGAAAAATAAAGTTTGAAGTTATGGGGTTGCACCAATTGGTTTGGGGAACTGCATAAAAGATAAATATTTGCGACTGTTCTGTGTTTGACCTAGTTATTTATCGAAACCGTCATTTAACAGAAAAACGCCTTTGCACTTCTGCCTCCTTCTCCTGCAATGACTGCAGCAATCTGTGCATAACACTGTGCCAGTTTGCACGTGTCTTTTAAACGTGCTAAATATAAAAGCAAAACAGCGACCGCAATCAGTTTCAGGTTTGATAAATCACATTGCGGGTGCTAAATGATTCTATTTGCATTTGCTCCTCCCAGAATTTTGCATGTTCTGATGATGTACATACAAGCTTCATATTCATGAAACACGCTAAATCGATTGCGCGCGCTGTTTTGCTCATTTGACAGATGCAACCCTTGGTGTACCTGATTAGTAGATCAGCTTTGCACGCTCTATCAAATTTGCACCTATTTTTGCACACGCAAACCTTTAGTAGATCAGACCCTAAGAGTCCAAGACACCCCATCAACACACATATGAAAATGTTCATCTTTACAGCGGAAGTAAACATGTTTACAGCAAACAGCACTGTGGTTGTAACTGCCCATTTTCAACTCTGTCACAGGAGAAGATTTTTTTTTCCCCAATTACACATTCGCTTTAGAGAAATGTGTCGCTCTGTTGACCAGGAGTTAGGATAAATTCACATTTCATGATGGAGACTAAACTGATTTCTACTTGGTCCTCCATCCTCAGCTGAACTCTGAGTAGTCCCAGACCCACCATGTAAGGGACTGTCCCATGGTCTTTACTGCAGCTTAGAGGAGAGGCAACCAAGGATTCCCGAGCAGACAGACAGACAGACAGACACACTGGTAGGAAATGTCTCTCACTAACAGGTCATTAAAGCGACTCAAATTTTACTGTAACTTCACATCACCAAAGTTTAACAACAGAAAACTTTAACCTCCTCTTTAGAGGCTGTATGGAGAGAATGAAGCTCTGTCTTTAGGAGCAGGAGTCACTTATGACTGACTGTTTTACAATCTATAAAATATGCATCATTAATGAAACTGAAAAAGTGTCACATGATTTCTATGTTCACTGAAACTTTAAACCTCATCAATAATTTCAAGAGTTCCTGAGACATCATAAAAGATGGCTGCATTAATAACATAGTGTTCACAATCAGAGATGCAGTAAATTTCAATGAAAATAAAAAATAAATATATATATTTTGATAAGGATGTATTTTACAGGTAAATGTGCTCATGGACAAAACATGACAACATGAGTGCAACCTTTTCTACGATTCTATGGTCACATACAGTCTACAGCGACATATTATCCACATGTACAAATGGATCAAATGTGATAGACGCTCTTCTTGTCTATAAAATACAAACAAAGTGACTTCTTGGTGCCCTTCATCGGTATAAAAATGAAACAAAGTGACCTCTGGTTGCTCTTCATCGGTACCAAATGTTAACAAAGTCTTCTCTAGAGTGCCTCCAGTGGACAAAATCCAGTTATGCCCCTTATTGGTGATTTTTTTTTTTTTTCTGATATCAGCAGCTGTGGTACAAGATTTTTATCATGAATATACTTTTTTGCTCCAGCCTATCATACATTTTTATCGTAGATGTCTAAGTTTAGTCTTCACTGCATAGTTTTCCAACCCGTGTCCGTGGGCAGGTATAATGAAGGTTACAAAAAACATCAAACAGATTAGCACAAAAAATACATATACTGTAGGTCTTCATAAAGCTGCCTTGTTTCGTCATTGTATAAGACTACCTGGACTAAAAGCACAAGCTTTAACATCTCCACAGTGATTTATTCGTTTCATCAGCAGTATAATGGGGGGTAATAAACAGGAGAAGAGAGCTATTAAGAGAATGACTGAGGTAAACTTGGAGGATGAGAGCTGCATGCAGAGCTCGCACTTCTGCCTGTAGACTTTCCAGGAACAGGTATTTTCGTTCTTAAGAAATACTCCATTTATTCCCCAGCCGTAGAAAAACACAAGAACTTTAAAAGCTTTTAAAAGCTCGGAGGTGCAATCTGCTGATGCACAAACAGTGCAGAACCACTGTGCTGTGTGCCTTCCCCAGGTTAGAACGAGACGCGCTGAACATGCACGCTCTGCAGGGGAAAGTATTCTCTGTCCTGTGAAACACTCAATTTATTTTCCAGCTTTATAAAACCACACTTAATGGCCTAAAGAGCTCTCCAGGGTGCGTTTTGGCGAAATCACCCATGCAACACCGGTGTAGTCATATGCGGCGTGTATACATTGTTTTTCGCTTCTACTCTGAAGTAGTAGGCACCATGTGAGAAAACAGGAAGGAAGCCAGCTGAGTGGTTTCTTTCTTTTGTCTGCAGTGCACTTTAACCCGTACACAGAAATAGAGCTGTGGAAAGTGTGACTTGTGCCACAGAAAAACAAAATGTTCAGAGAGAGTAAAAATAGAGGGATCTGAAAACATGCACAGAGGCTGAATGTATGGTTTGTTTGACCAGAGGAGACTCACTTTGAGCCGTTGCCTTAAATTCAACTTACAGAGAAAAAGAAATCCAAACAGCTCCCCGTCTCAGGGATGAAATTTTGGCCCGTCCAGCTGGATTTTCACCAAGAGAGGAGAGGAGAGCTGAAGCGAAACCGCTGTCTCCAGCACTCTGCGTGACTGCGTGCTGTTGTGCAACAGACGTCCACTGTTTACTTGTGTTTCCCTCTGCCAGCTTGTTGTTATACACTTTCAACATCCTGCACATGGGGAGGCTGACACTGCTGTTTAACTTCATGTACTGTGCGAAACCCCTGCTTGTGACAAAAACAGCAACAGAGAGAGGAAGTAAAACATGCTTTAGTATGACTTTATTAGCAGAAACATGTTGGATTTTTGCTGCTGTGGGCAATTATTGTCCACGAAGAACACTGAGATGGCAATTTGATCACTACAAGTAGCAGTTTACACGGATTCACCACAAACATGCAAACACACTCATGCACACACACACTCTGACAATGGGGGATGAGAGCTTAATGGAGAGTGAGGGTCCAGAGAAAGGTCAGAGTCTTTGGTAAACAAATAGCTATTTAGACATAAACAAATCATTGTAGCTTATAGCCACAGCTCTGAAGGATTTCCCCTCAGGTGACGGGACTCTTCAAGTTTTGTTTATGTCTCCTTCCTTCTATAAACACGGCGTCATCCATCGTCTGTCTGATTATTTGTAATGTCAGCCACAATTATGGACAAATTATTCTGTTGTGAGGCCACTTTCTCTTATTTTTTTAGTTCAATTTAACAGAAAGAAAAAAAAACCTTTAATTGTTCAGGGTTTTTATCTCTTTTTGCAGCTTTCACCCACTATTTCGTGTTCAGTCTGCTCTTCAAAAAGACAATTTTCCCTCATCAAGTGATTTTCAGGCTCTCTTCTGTGCAGCTTTTTGATCCATTTTTGAACTGCTTAATCTGTACAAAAGTAGAGTTTCCTGTGTCTTCAAAGGAGACGCAAACTTATCGAGAGTCTCTGTCCCGTCATGTTCCACAGACGCTGATACCTGCCGGTGGAATTTAGAAATGAGAGTCTGCGGTTGACTGTGCGTGTGAGGTGTTTTCAGGGGGGTGAAGGGGAGGATCTGTGGGAGGTAGCTCTAGTGGTTTTTCTGTGAAAGGCTGACGCTCTGCGTTGTGGTCACAGTGTATCTTTGCTGTTTATTTTGTTCTGCTTCACTTAGAGGACTCCTGACAGTGTGAGAGGGTGAGGAGAGCCCGGGATCAGGAGGTCAGATAGCAGAGTAACACCCACATGATCTGCTTCAGTCTCTTTTTAGAGTCTTGAATGGAATTTAAACACTGAAGTCTCTTTATTTATTTATTTTGGTGTTGATGATTTTGGCTTATAGCAAAATCAGGAATGAATCATCTCAAATTGTTAGAATATTCTCCCAGATTAATGAAGAAATGCAAAGGTATCCAACCTCTAAATATATAATAATAATAATGCATCAGATTTCATATAGCGCTTTATCAGAGACCCTCAAAGCGCTTTACATATATGTGCATCCATACAGGCTTGGGGTTCACGAAAATTGTAATACGCCTCGCCGGTGGCAGATTTAAAGGCGAAGAGAGGAGCTGATATGATTGGTGAAAACAGGTCTCAGCTGTGTTAAAACCACTCCACGCCCTCTCTCCTCCCTTGCTATGACTTACACCCCTGGGAGGATCTGAGTCAGGGAGGGGGGATACTTACGCCGGGCTGCGCCGCTCACCAAAATACCAAATTGTGTTTGGGAACGCCTTGTCGGCGCAGCGGACCTGACTTACGCCGCGCCTGCGCCACGTCTCCGGTGAAGCACGAAAATAGAGCCCTATGAGTGAAACTCTTCAAACTTGGTAAATGAAGAGTTTTTAACAACTTTCCAGTCAAGTTTAAATTCATATCTGTACACCTCTTCAGCAATCTTCACATGTGGCTTATGCTCCTCGTAGGGAGTGACGATGAACATTTTCTGTATACATGTCAGGCCAGCAGTCTTAGCCTTGATTGGTTGCAGATACATGATATTCATACTGTTGAGAAAGTAATTCACTCAAACTCTAAATGAAATGTTCTCATAACTTTGAGCTTTAGACCAAATTTATGAAAATCAAAAAAGAAAAACACCGTCTCTTTTTTTAGAAGCACCTGCATTAGCTAAAGCGTCGTGACTCTGTGTGATTTATACGTCGTTCTGCCTTCAGGGCCCTGTTGTGAAAGTACAATAGCCCCTTAATTTTGGCTAAATTGCACCAAAGTCTGTAATTTTAACATATGCGTTGTCACAGAAAGAGGAGCTGCAGATTCCAAGGGCACTTAACCTGGATGTGTTGATAGTTCCTACAAAGAAAGAGAATAACAAGAGAAGCAAATTGTGCTAGAGTTCATCTGAGCAGCAAACTAATGATTTAGGTCAGAGTTGAAAACCAGAGAACCAGACCTTGAACTGAAATGACAACAAAGACAGACAACCTTGGCTATTTTAATTTCAAGAACAACAAAACAGAGAGAAAAACTGCCAAAATGACCTTTTCTCTGATTTTGTTGTGTAGTCTATCCTGCAGGAGTTTGACACACTGAGCCCGTTATTTTGACCTCCCGGAGAGGGAAGAGCTGTGCAATGCCACGAGAGGAAGGATCTGTGCTGCACTGCAGGTGTACTCAGGAGTTATTCAGGGAAAAGGTTTAGGCTGGTTACCAAGGAAAACTTTCCTCTTTGTGTAACTTGTTCAGGCAGATGTTCTCTTCATGCACAATAGGATTTTTTTTTTTAAAAGAAATACTTTCATGTCACCAACCTCCCCAGATCTGTTCTCTCCATATTTGCATTTTGTCGAGTTTTATGCTTCAAGCCTAAATTTGTCCCCTTCAAAATTTGGATGATCATATAATATTTATAATCCATAAACAAAAACAAAATGAGGAAAACAAACTCCGAGACCCCACCCCTGAGGTGTAGAATTAAAGAGTAAACAATGAAAATACAATTACCATGCTTCTCACTGACTTTCCTCCCGGCTCTTAGCCAAGACGTGCTTGGCCTGCATCCCGTATTGTTAAGGGGGAATGAGTGGGATGAAACCAGCACTGATACGACGACCAGAGCAGGTTTTTGAATCATACAACAACATCATAAATCAGACTGAGGAACAGTGAACAGGGAGATTTGTTGTCTATGAATCCCACTCAGCTCTGGCTTGTGCCTGTTATGGGCTAAGATATGCATGACTCAAGTGTGTGTGTGGGAGATGAGAATCAGTGTCACTACTGTCCGAATGTGTGGGGGATGTTGTTGTCTCAGAAGGGTATGTACTATAGGAAGGGGTTTTTTTTTCCCCCGCTCTAGAGAAGAGGGGTTTTAATCTGAGAGACAGAGATATTAAAAACGACCTAATTTCTGGGATATATATTAGAAGTTTTTGTTGGTACCAAATTTCTGTCATATATCCAACATGCAAATGATCTTAGATACTGTTCAAGTCTTCTGCCAGTACTCTTCAATCATTTCCTTTGTATTCCTGCATGTTTTCTTACATTGTAGTACCACTGAGAATCACGCTGAAAGCAAAAAGTTTAATGCACATCAACAAAGCCAAACAAAGAATACTTCAAAATGTGGCTGAACGTTCTGAGGGAAGATTGAGAGAGTACGAACATGTTGATGGTGTTACCTACCCTATGCTATAGTATGAAACATGGGTGCAGCTTTCCGTCAGTGCTTTTGCATACTATTAAAAAAGTTAATGTGTCGAAGTCAAAGTTCTCATAGTTGGACAAACGTACTAAAATAATTGATGTTCTTCTGCATTAATACTCTTAAGACAGGCCCAAACTGATCTAACGTCCTGCTCTTACTTCAGTCTCATGCTGAGATTTGACCTAGAGGTCAAGCAGTCTAAAAGGGTTCAAGGATGGAAGGGAATAAACCCGAACAGAGTGATCAAAAATGAGAGTCAAAAGGATGAAATGTACAGAGCAATAATATACACAGCCAGCCTCTTTCTTAAGTGTCTGTTGATTGTTAATGTATGATAGGTTAACCAGGTGATGGTCCAAGGTGAAATATCACCACCTAATGTAGCGGTGCATTTGTCAGTAGATCAGTCGTCTTCTGGTGCCTCTACTGGAATAAGGACAGAGGCCAGAATCAAGCAAGTACCCTGACTTAACTCAACATATGATCATATACTGAGTTTCATACATTAGTTTCTTGATTAGGAAAATGCACATTAATCAACATAGAGAAAGCATCAAAGTAAATACCCTGGATATATTGGATACGGGGACTCGGACTAACTTTGATCAGCCTAGTAAGAGACACGGAGGTCTAGTTAACACTGGTCTTTAGGCTCCTTACTGACAGCTGCACTGTGCCACACTGGATGGACAGCAGCAAAGGAGGGTGGAATTAAGTCCACTCTAGTGAAAGCCAAGTTTGACATCCATCTCAAAAACTGCTCCACTCAAACTGCTCACATAAGTTTTGTATCAGCAGTTAACCTTTCCACGGCATGTTAAAAAAAAGACTTTTACATATCTGTTCCTCAATGCTGCGTGCTGTGCCAGCATAATATTGCAGCTGATTGATTCATAAATAAGGATTTACATAAACAGTGTATATCCTACAAAGCTTTATTTATTGATGAAGTAGGTGAAATACTCTGGCTGTCCATGAAAAATTAAACATCATTATATGACTCCTAAAGCGAATGAGTTGTATATGACTGAATTGTGCGGTTATAGTTGCAGCTTTCATTGAGGCATTTACCATCACATGTCCAAGTTTGAGCTCCAGATGAGGGAGAAGTGAAGTGAGCGGAGAAAGCAGCAGTTTTAGCCAAATGGCCATCAAATGGAGATAAGCTGACTGATGACTCTTGATCACTTATAATTGAACCCATCAGATTCGCTGTTCTGGCTTCTTTCTTTCTTTTCTTCCATATTTGCTGCCTCTGATAACAGGTTGAGGTTTTATGATACTTTGATTATGAGTTTCAATTTACCATTCCTGTGCATTTTGAGACCATGCCAGGTCAATTTAAGTCTTAACTCTGAGGTAAAATGACTCATTCTTGGCACAAAAAAAACAGTTTTATAACAAATATTATGTGAATATAAAAGCTCTTTTGTAGTCGCATAGATATGCTGATTGAGGGTGATGTGTAGGGTTATGAAAACATTTCA